GTTGTCGTGGTTGGAGTGGAGGGGTACATTAGATTATATTCCTAGTAGGGTTGTGTTTTTTTTGAACGCATATCAAATGATTGAGAAAAGGGTATGAAACATATCTAGCCTTTGTGAGGGATGTCACTGTTGATACTCCTACCGTTGAGCCAGTTCCGATAGTGAGAGATTTCCCAAATATGTTTCTAGAAAACCTACTAGGCATGCCGCCCTATAGGGATATCAATTTTGGTGTTGACTTGGTGCCGGGCATTCAGCCCATTTCTATTCCACCATATCGTATGGCACTAGAGGAGTTGAAGGAATTGAAGGAACAACTTCAGGAGTTGTTTGATAAGGGTTTCATCCGACTGAGTGTCTTGCCTTGAGGTGCTCCAGTTCTATTTGTGAAAAAGAAAGACAACTCCATAATGATGTATATTGATTACAGGTAGCTGAACAAAGTTACATTTAAGAACAGGTACCCACTACCACAGATTGATGACATATTTGACCAACTTTAGGGTGCTAGGGTATTCTCAAAGATTTTTTTGAGATGATGATATCATCAGCTAAAGATCCGGGACTCAAACATTTCGAAGACAGCCTTTCAGATTTGTTATGGCCACTATGAGTTTTAGTGATGTTATTCGGGCTGACCAACACCCCAACAAAATTTATGCACTTGATGAACAATGTATTCTAATAATATATTCATTCATTTGTCATTGTGTTATTTAATGACATATTGGTATCTTCTCACAGCCGGGAGGATCATGAGCAGCACTTGAGGATCGTGCTCCAGACCTTGAGGGAAAAGAAGTTATATGCAAAAATTTCCAAGTGTGAGTTTTGGCTTGATTTGGTGGCGCTTTTGGGTTATGTGGTGTCTAACGAGGGGATTAAGGTGGATGCGAAGAAGGTGGAAGCAGTTCAGAGTTGGCCCAGACTGTCTTCTACTACGAAGATCCAGAGTTTTCTAGGATTGGCTTGTTATTATCGCTGTTTGGTAGAGGGTTTCTAATCCATCGCAGCTCCCTTGACCCGATTTACTCAGAAGGGTGCCCCTTTTGGGTGGTCTGACGAGTGTGAGGAGAGCTTTCAGAAGCTCTAGATTGCCTTGACCACAACTCCAGCTCTAGTTTTTCCTTTAGCATCGAGTTCATATACAGTTTATTGTGACGCGTTGTAGATTGGCATTTGATGCATATTGATATAGGAGGGTAAGGTAATCGCTTATGCTTCACGTCAGTTGAAGTCCCATAACAAGAACTGCCTCGTTTATGATTTAGAGTTGACTTCCATTGTTCACGCATTGAAGATTTTGAGGCACTATCCCTACGACGTGTCTTTTGAGGTATTCGCAGATCATTAGAGTCTGCATCACTTGTTTAAGCAAAATGATCTAAACTTAAGGTAGCGGAGGTGGTTAGAGCTGTTAAAAGACTATGTTATCACCATTCATTATCATACAGGGAAGGCCAATATGGTGGGCGATGCCTTGTGTAGAAAGACCGAGAGTATGGGTTGCCTTGCATATATTTCAGTTAGAGAGAGACCGCTGGCATTGGATGTTCAAGCTTTAGCCAATCGATTCATGAGGCTAGATTTTTCGGAGCCCAGCGAAGGATATGCTATGTCATGTGTTATGGATTTCAGAGGTTTATGAGATTAGTTTCTACCTCTTGCAGAGTTCGCCTACAACAACTACCAATTAAGTATTCAGATGGCTCCTTATGAAGCCTTATATGAGAGGCAGTGTCGTTCTCCAGTTGGTTAGTTTAAGCTGGGAGAGGATAGATTGTTGGGCACTGATTTGGTTCAGGATGCCTTGGAGAAAGTCAAGTTGATTCAGGATCGACTTCGTACAAAACAGTCTAAGCAGAAGACTTATACTGATTGTAGGGCTCATGATGTAGCATTTATGGTGAGAGAGAGAGAGAGAGAGAGAGAGAGAGAGAGAGTTTTGCTTAGAGTTTCACCCATAAAGGGTGTGATGAGATTCGGGAAGAAGGGCAAGTTGAGCCCTAGGTATATTGGTCCTTTTGAGATCCTTGAGAGTGTTGGTGAGATGTCCTACAGACTTGCATTGCCGCCTAGCTTATCGATAGTTCACTCAGTGTTTCATATTTCCATGCTCCGAAAGTATTATGGTGATCTGTCACATGTATTAGATTTCAGCTCAGTCCAATTGGACAAGTATTTAACTTATGTTGAGGAGCCGGTGGCCATCTTGGACAGGTAGGTCCGAAAGTTGCGGTCATAGAACATTGCTTCAGTGAAAGTTCAATAGAGGTTCATCCGGTCGAGGACTGACCCTGGGAGACCGAGCACAACATGCGGAGTTATTATCCTCGCTTTTCGTCACTTCAGGTAGTCTCTATACACGAGGACAAACGTTTACTTTAGAGGGGGGGAATGTAACGACCCAATCGGTTATTTTGTGTATTTGAGCCCCGTTTTCCTTTTGAAGATTTGCGTATGTGTATTTGTGGTGTTAGAACTTGCAGGATTGGTTAATTTTGTTCTGGGAAGGTTTTAGCTCGATTTGGACCTTTTAGTTCTTGGTTTAGTAGCATAAGTTGGAAATATTGACTAAAGTTTAACTTTTGTAAAAAGACCCCAGAACGACATTTTGATGGCTCCGATAGGTTCATATCTTGATTTTGGACTTGGACGTATGTCCGAAATTTGGATTCATAGGTCCCTCGGTTGATTTGACTTATTCTGTCGAAAGTTGGCAATTTGAGGTTAGAAGTTTTCTTAAGTTTGACCGTAGGTTGAATTTAATGCTATCAGGTTCAGAATTTGGTTTTGGGACTTAGAATAGGTCCGTTTTTTCTATTTAGAACTTGTTTGCTAAATTTGGTGTCATTCAAAGTTGGTTTGATATGATTCATACCTTGGTTGCAATTCTAGAGTTCTTGAGTTTTATTTTGAAATTCTTGCGTGTTGATGTTCGATTAGTGGTTTTAGATATTATTGTTTTGATCGCGCGAGCGATTTCATATGATCCTTTTAGACTCGTGTGTATGTTTGGTTTGGAGCCTTGAGAGCTCGGATGCCTTTCAGACGTGTTTTGAAATGATTTGGACTCAATTCCAGTTACTGGTGTGTTGTTGCCTTAGGTGTCGCAATTGCGAGCACCCAATTAGCAATTGCGATCATAGTAGGGGGTATCAGGTGTCGCATTTGCGATACCTGGATTGTATTTGTGAAGAAGTACCTGGGCTGGGTAGTTTCACCTTTGCGACCATTTGGCCGCATTTGGGAGGTGAGCAGACTTCACAAATGCGAAATCCATGTTGAATTTGCAACTTCCTCATTAAGCTGTCAGGCGTCGCATTTGCGAGTCCATCTTCTCAATCTCGAAGGTTCCCAGTTGCAAACCCAATGTCGCAATTGGGACATCTGCACCTGAATAAAGGGCTGAAAAATCAAGATTTTAATCTCATTTTCATATTTTAGATCTCTAGAATCGGTAGGAGGCGATTTGGAGAGGGGATTTTCACATACGTCATAAGGTAAGTGATTTTTATAAATTTTTTAACTATATTATATGATTATATATTATATTTAATATCAAACTTTTGAGAATCAAAGAGAAATTTTGGGAAATTTTTGTCTATGTTTCGAAAAAATAAAAATTTGAGATTTGAGAGTCGAATTGGATTCGGATTTGAAAACAAATCACATATATGAAGTTATGGTTTATGGGTAGTCAAGATCTACCATTGGAATCGGGTTTTTACTGAACGAGCTCGGTGTTAACTTTTTGTTGAATTTTGGAAAATTATGTAAAGATCATAGCTTTATTAATTGTAATTGGTTTCTCTTGCCTTGTTTAATGATATTAAGTCGTTTTTGTAAGATTTGAGCTGTGTGTAGGCAAATTTTAAGAGAAAAGCTATTTTTGAGTGTCTGATTTGGCCTAGTTGGAGTAAGTATCTTGCCTAACTTTGTGTGAAAAAACTATCCCTTAGGATTTGAGTTGATTTTGCTATTTGAATTATGTGGAAGACGTGTACAAGAGGTGACAAATGTGGACACAGACTTATATGTGATATTTGACCGATTTAGACTCTTAGGTTACTTTAAAAACTTAATTGAAGTTGCAATTATTTGCCCTATCTTTCGTGTTCTAAGTTGTTTCCTACATGCCTTATTTGTGGTTGTTATTACATGTGCTAGTTTCCATTGTCGAGGTTTCCCTTATGTGCGTTTATTTGTAGTTGTTGTTACATGATATTCATTCCATTATGGAGTTATAATCATTCATTTAGTCGTAGTTGCTATTTCATACTTTCCCTGTTATTGTTAAACTTATGTTACGTACTTGAATTAGAACTTTTCATTTCCTGGGAATACCTTTTACTGTGAGTTATTGAAGTTGTAGTCGGACAACTAATAATACATTGAGGTTGAAGTTGTTGGTTACCGAGATATCTTTCTTTTTTGAGTTGTTTCTTATTTATTTTGTTGTTATTGAGATTTTTGTACATATTGTGGTTGTGCTGTTTTGAGCACCCAATTTTTGCCCACATGGAAATTAATCCCAAAAATATACTAAAAATAATTTTAATGGATTTTAAGAGTTTTTCTTTATTTAGTTGCATTTCATGCATATTTAATATTTAAAATCATAAAAAATTGACACATTTTTCGTTTCATGCCATCGTAAGTTTAATATACATTTTTAGAAATTAACTACTCTTTAATTGTTAGAATTAATACATAAAAATCAAACAAAATAATTTTTAAATTTTACATGCATTTATTAATAGATAAATAGAATTATTTTTTGCTAATTAGATTTTAGTTAGGTTTTAATTTAGAATTTAATTTGTTAGAACTTAAAATCAAAAGAAAACATAGATTTGATCTTTTAATTTCGTTTGGGCCAGCTTAATTTGAAGTCCAAATAACTTGATCCATCAGTCCTTTTAGAAATAAAGATAATATCTCAGCCATTAAAACTATTTGAATTCAAAGGGTAAGTTTTATTTTCTCCCTCACCTATAAAATACACATTACCCCCAAACCCTAATTGAATACCTACACACCCTAGAGACCAGCCTAACACACACACAAATGAGAAGTTTTATTTTGTGTCTCATACAATTTACACTAGTTGTATGAGTCTCTTTTTTGTCTCACAAATTTGTGGACCACAATTTTACACTTTTAAATCCATAGAAATCTAGGTTTTCAAAACTGTGAGACAAAAAAATTACCTTATACAACTAGTGTCAATTGTATGAGACACAAAATAAAATTTTTCCCGCTCAAATACAATGGAAAGGAGCGCCGCATCTTCTTCTTCTTGAATCAGGAGACTCCTCCAACTTTTCGAAAAAAAAGAAAAAGGACTCTAAAAAGGATAATCTCCTAAGAAAGCTAGCAACGCACCCCTCCATTTTGGACCTCTCATTCTCTGATTCAAGAACGACACACCTTCCTCCTTGCGGCTTTGGCTTTTCTTTGAAATCGATTTTTTGAAATGGATAGGTTTGAATTCGAGTTGGGACAGACCTGATGGACATAAACAGAGGGATGTAAATAGTTACGAACCCCACCAGATTGCGGCCAAAAACTGCTCAGATTCTGCCGGTCTGGCGATTTTCCGACGATTCGAGTTTCGATTTTCCGTCGAGGCTGCCGCCGGCAAAGGTTTATGTTCGTGATCGTTATCTTGGCTTGATATTGAGTAGCAGAAACTCTAAGACTTGGATTCAATTAATACAAGGTCTAGTTTGACTTCTCTGACCAATTTCTATAATGCTACATACTTGTCTTTGTTTCTTTGTCTATTAAGCATGTGAGAAAGATTTGGACTTAATTTTCAGATATTTCTTTTATTTGTTATTTGTTTTTTTTGTGTGTGTCTTCGTGTGTGTCAAACGACGATCAATTGATGGATTAAAGTTATAGTCTCTAAATGAGAGCAAAATTCGTTGGATGCTGAGGGATAAACTAAAGTAATGGGTCATAGAAAGTATGAACGCATTTGTAATATTTCCTGCTTCAAATCTGCACGTTTAACTCTTATCATATTGTGTTTGCTTGTAGTTATATGCTGGTGAAAGAAAGATAGGTGAAGTTGCGTTGGGTTTAGGTATTCTTATCATGTTTAAATCCAGAACACTCGAACAGATCTTCTATCCTTCTCCCACATATCAATATTCTTAATTATTGGCCTTCACAATAATCTCAAAGATTAGAAAAATTCAAATGCGCTAGTTCTTTAGGCGCTCTATTAAATAAATCATCGTGACTATGAATATGGTTCCCGTGGTATAGTCACGATACGTAATCCCTAATTCGAGTGTGCATTTCAGGTGACTCGACCACAACTTCGAACGATAATAAAAATAAACATGTTGTAAATCGCGGGTGCATTTCATGTAGCGCGATTTGCAATGTGTATCAAAACGGCAAGTGTACGACAATCGTGACTTGTTCCAAAAATAATTCCATAAATCCTAAAAAGCGGCTAAATAAATAAAAGCGGTTATAAAGTTAAAAATGCACAATTTTAAAACACGTAATAAATTAGATAATGAGGCCAATTATTAATAGTTGAGCGACCGTGCTAAAACTACGGAGCTCGAGAATGCCAAACACCTTCTCCCAGGTTAATAGAATTTTTTACCCGGTCTTCTGTGTTTGCGGACCAAAAAATAGAGTCAATTTTCCTCGATTTGGGATTTAAAATAAGCCGGTGACTTGGGACACCAATAATTATCCCAAGTGGCGACTTTGATTAAAATAAATAATCCCATTTCGAATAATGTCACTTTAATTTGAAAAATATCCTTATACCCCCTTTCGGATAAAAAGAAAGTGTGACAGATGTGGGCTATGTATTGTGGTAATATTGGTATTGTTGATTTTGACAATGTTGTGGCATATGGATTCGTGTGGTGAGAGTTGATTATTGTGCTGTGATATTGATGCGCATGCGGCAGTATAAGGATAGGTGTTGATGTGCATGCAGCGAGATAAAGTGAAATTTATATGCGTGTTGCTAGTAAGAAAATTACTTGAAGCCACATTGTGAGATAAGGAGACTTAATCGCATGTAGCTATTTCAGGAAAAATCTTTTAAAAAATATAAATAGTAGGCTCACACATTGATATAAGGAAGATTGTGATTGTACATTGTGAAAATGTGGATAAGCGGTGTTATGCCTCAGTTGTGATTCTCATTGTACATTTTATGTTGAAAAGGCTTGTTGATGAAAGGGTTATTGTTAGTTTCTTTACTTAGTATTTTGACTGCATATGATTACTTATTGTTCTTATCATAATCTCATTCTTATTATCCTTTATTGCCTAAATAACTGTTGTTAGCCTTACATCATTGTACTGTTTTGTTTCTATTTATTTCTCTATCTTCTGTTATTAGATTGCATTAAGGTGTCATGACCTGACCTCGTCATCACTCTACCAAGGTAAGGCTTGATACTTATTAGGTACTGTTGTGGTGTATTCATGTTATTCTTCTGCACATTTTTGTGCAGATCCAAGTATTTCAGCTCATGCCGGACACCAGTGATTTGACCAGATATTTTGGAGACTTTAATTTATACCTGTTTGGCGCTCGCATGTCTCGGAGTCATCTTCTGCCACTGTCTTTTGTACTGTTTACTTCATATCAAAACAATTTTATATTAGAGATCCTTAGTGTACATATGTAAAGCTTATGATTGAGTTTTACCCGTTGGGGATTTTTGTGATTGTTGTTCAGTATTGATATTATCATGAGATTTATTAGTTAATTTACTACTTCTAGCCATTGTTTATGTTAAATTCTTTTATGTGTTAGGGACTAGGTACCATTACGAATACCTAAGGTGAAATTTTGGGGTCGTGACATACATCCATCTCAATATCCTCATTTCTGCTACTTTCATCTTCTGGACATGTGATTTTTTGACTGGCCAACCCTCAGCATCATACAACATAGTCGGTCTAACTACCACTATGTAGAATTTGCCCTTAAGTCTTGGTGCCATATTTTTATCATACAAAACACCAAATGCGAGCCTCCAATTTATTCACCCCGCTCCAATAAGATATGTAACATCCTCGTCAATCTCCTCGTTGTCTTGGGTAACAGACCCAAGGCACTTGAAATTATCTCTCTTGGAAATGACTTGTGTATCAAGCTTCATGTCCACTTCTACTTCATGTGTCCTCTCACTGAACTAGCACTCCAAGTATTCTGTTTTCGTTCTACTCAACTTGAAACCTTTAGACTTCAGGGTTTGTCTCCAAACCTCCAGCCTAAAGTTAAACCTGCGATGTGTCTCGTCAATCAACACTATATCATCTACGAATAACATATACCATGAAACCTTCATTTAGATGTGTCGCGTCAGCACATCTATCATCAAAGCAAATAAAAATGAGCTAAAAGCCGATCCATGATGTAACATTATCTACACTTAAAAGTGTTCCGAGTCTCCTCCCACAATTCTCACTCGAGTGTTAGCACCATCGTACATATCTCTAATTACCCTAGTGTACACTAATGGGCTACCACTAACCTCCAAACCTCTCCATAGAACCTCCCTAGGACTTTGTCGTAGGCTTTTTGTAGGTCAATAAACACCATATGAAAGTCTTTCTTCCTTTCCTTATACTGCTCCACTCATCTCCTCACAAGATGAATGGCTTCTATAGTCGCCCCAGTATGAATCCAAACTGGTTCACAGAAATAGACATACTTTTTCTCACCCTCCTCTCTACCACCCCCTCCAAAACTTTCATAGTATGATATCCCTTTGTAATTTTGGACATGTAACGATCCGACCGGTCGTTTTGATAGTTGTGGACTTGTTCCCCCATTTATTGCTCATTTTATGCTTAATAGTTGCTATGTGACTTGCCGGGGTAGTTGGTTTGGTTCCGGGGATATTTCGGAATGAGTTGAGACACTTAGTCTCAAGGTTGGGAGCTTTAGTTGAAAAGGTTGACCAGATGTTGACTTATGTATGAATGACTATGGAATGGAGTTTTGATGGTTTTGTTAGCCCATTTGGTGATTTTGGACTTAGTAGTGTGTCTAGATAGTGATTTGGAGGTTCGCAGTTGAATTAGGCTTGAAATGGCGGAAGTTGAAAATTTAGAAGTTTGACCGAGAGTTGACTTTGTGGTTACCGGGATTGGATTTTGGTTCCGGATATTGGAGTAGGTCCGTGGTGTCATTTATGACTTGTGCGCAAAATTTGAGGTCAATCGGACTTGATTTGATAGGTTTCGACATCGAATGTAGATGTTGGAAGTTTATAAGTTCATTAGGCTTGAATCAATGCGCGATTCGTGGTTTTAAAGTTGTTTGATGTATTTGAAGCTTCAAGCGAGTTCGTATAATAATTTAGGACTTTTGGTTGAGGTCCCGAGGGCCTCAGGTGGATTTCGGATGGCTAACAAATCAAATTTTGGACTTGGAGATTTGCTGAAATTTTCTGGTGCACTGATCTGGTTTCCTTATATGCGATCGCCTAGACAAGTCCGCGATCGTGTACGCTTAATTAGGCAGTGGAGGTCTTTGTTATACGCATTCACGAGATGGGGACTGTGATCGCGTAGTTGTGGGATGCGGTGAATCACGAACGCATGGCTAAGGTCGCGTTCGCGTAGAGTATAGGAGGCAGCAACTATGGTCACGCGTTTGGTCTCCGCGATCACATAGGTTGAGGAAAGCAGTTCTTCGCATTCACGTGAGGATTGACACGTTCACGTAGGGTTGAATATCTAGGCAGTTGAGTTGTGCTTCGCGATCACGAAGCAATTTCCGCGATCGCGATTGTGAGCACGTGATTTTTTCCCTATATGAATTACTCCCATAAATTCAAAACAAAATAATTTCTTTTCATTATTTGTAAATTTTGTGGATTTCGTGGCATTTTCTGATAATTGTTTGCATTTGTCTTTGCATGTTTATTCTATTTAATTCATGAAAATACAAAAACACACTGCATTTGCGTTAGAATTAATTTTCATATTAGTTGACAAATTAGTTGTTTTATAAAAATGGAAAAATCACAAAATAGTAACTTATTTTTGCATTTTTAATTTTAGTTTCGAATGTTGGTAGTTTTTCTCTAAGTTGGCATTTAATTAGTGGTGGTAAGCATTATTTAGAGTTAGTTAATTCAATTTGACAGGATAATTTGATTAGGAATTAATTTAGGTTTTATGTTAATTTGAAAAGAAAAGGAAAGAAATTGAAAAAGAAAAAGAAAGAATTTCAACAAGAAGTCTGTTTGGGCCATTTTTATTCAAAATTCCTCAGGCCCAAACAATTGTGCCTGAAACCCGTCCAATCACCCGAAACCCGGCCCTGTTGCGACCAAAACACTCACGCAAGTGCACGCGATCAACAAGTAATATAGTAGTAAGTAGAGTATCGTTCCCACGAGGAATTGTGATCAACTTATCGACTGATGTAGACTCAAACAATTATCAATTCAAGTTAAATTATCACAAATTATATAAAGAACCAATTTACAACGTACTTAATAATTGTACAATAATTCAACACAAAATTACTACACCAATTTCTCAATATTTCGATAACAATTTGGATAAATATATTCCCGGGTCATGGACTTGCTAGAAATCATGCTACTATTTTAGCTTTAGATTAATTAATTGAATTATCCGGGTTATTGATTATAGGGTTAATAATATTCATAAGAATCTTTCGAGTTCTTATGCATCTATTCAAGTTAAACTAATACCTATATGTCTATGGTATTAATATTAGCAAGAATGCATTTACAACTCCTATTTTTCAACCAAACAAGGCAATTAAGTATATGTCTATCTTAATTGCGAATTCTTCACCCGATGCCCGAGATTCAAAACTTGTTCTATTTGATTCTATATGCAACCAAGAATTTCCTTTGTCAAGTTTAATTCAAGATTCGTAAATAATATTTCACTGTTAGCTACGCAGTAAAATAATTAGAAGCAGAATCAAATAAACAACCCATAACAATAAATTCAATATCTTCAATCTAAGCTTCAAATAACATAATTATCTAACATCCATGACCCAAGAATACTAGAGTTTTTAGCTACTCATAATCATACAAAAATCAACAATAAAAGTTTTAAACATAATATTAACAAGCAACAAGAAGAAAGTTTGAAAGAACTCTTTAAACTCTTGATCCAAAATGATGTTTGTCCTTCTCTTTCTTAGCTCCAAGCTTGATCTTCAATGGCTTTTCTCTCAAGGATGAATAGTATTTTTGCACTTACTCCCCTCAAAATCTGATTATCCTCCATAATGGAACTTTTACTTTATGGTAGTTTAGTGGATTACTCCCAAATTGACCAATTTACCCCTCAATAATTGCTTTTCCGGACAGGACTAGCGCGGGAGCGCATGACCAGCGCACATCCCGCGCATATCGAGTTTCTTTCTGTCCAAATCACTGAACTAGCGCGGGAGCGCATGACCAGCGCATGACCCGCGCTAGTGGGGTTTTCTCTTGTTAAGATGTTGCTGCTCAACTTTTCGTCATTTGACTCCATTTTTCACTTGATTACCATCATAAATCCTCATTTGTTTATTGAACTCCTGTGAGACATTAAAGTCATGATTAGAGCCAATTTTTGCATTATTTGAACATTTACAATAGTAAACCATCCTTAAGTTGAGCTAAAACATAGGCTATATTAAACAATTTAGCCTATTATCAACACCCCACACTTAGCTTATTGCTAGTCCTCGAGCAATCCACTATATTCTTTTTAGAGAATTCTTCACTCAACCATTTCCCCTCACGCATTACACCTAGAACATTGTACATATATTACGCCTAGCAGTGAACAATCCTAGCCTCAAAGTCAACTCTCAAGTGCCATGCAATATTTACACTTCCTCAAAGTACTCTACACAGAAATCAAGACTTGCTTCTCCGTCACGATTCATATGCCCTCACAATTACATCAACAAAAACTGAGTTCAATCCACCACATTCAATTCATATATTCACATATATCAAGGAAATCACTCACTCTCACAAAAGAGGTCACATGCATGCAATTGGTACCATAAGCTTGCCCTTAATGTAAATCTCTACTAATGTAGGCTAGCTCAATCCAAAATCAATTAGGACTTTTTCATGGTTGTAATGTGGGCTAAGGGACGGGTAGGATGTATTTAGGAATAGTGACTCAACCCCTAAGCACTTTAACACATCACACGAGCAATTTTCAGCATAAATTCTTCAACCCACTTCTCATTTATACACAATATCATCCCACAAATACGCCCTTCTTCTTTAAGCACTCTATTAATTCATTCCCACTAGCTAGAGCAAAACACAATGTAATTTTTCTTGTCACTCAATTTCTGCTAGTGGTGTATTCGTTTACAACATAAGTGCACCTTTCATCCTTTTATTGGTTCCACTCAAAAGCCACCCCACACTTATTTCCTTCTTACTTCTTTTAGCGCTCTTCTCACAATTAAAGTGCTTTAAGAGGTAAAAGGATCAAAACAATGTCAATTAAGAACAAAAGGGTATAGGCTTGTAATGCGGGTGCCAAACAAAAAGTCTGAAGGCTCAAAAGGGTTAACTAGGGACAAATTTTATTTTTAATAAGCAATTAAGCTCAAAAAGGTCAAAGAAAGCCTAACATCATTTTTCAAACCGAGCATCACCTCAAATTTCGCTTCAACTCACATACCGGGCAAGTTCTAGACACAAGTACAATACATGGACTACACAAATACTCACCACACATGGCATATGACTCATTCCAGATCAGCTCATCAAGACACTCCATTACGAGCATTCAATTCAGTACAAACATACAAATTAAGGCACTTTCAGTGAGATTCAACAATTAAGACTAAGCGCGTTACACTCTAGGGTCTAATGTGTTCAGGTGTGTCAACGCTATGAGTTCTCTTCTATAGCTTGCATCCCTTTATTTAATATACAAATAAAAAAAATGAAAACAGAAATTAAAAACTACATATGCCCGGTTCAAAATAAACCCTTGGAAAAGAACCGTGGCTTAAAGAAAAACCAAGGGGGATTTGTTATACTACCTAAAAATAAAAAATAAAAACAAAAATCTTTTTGTTGTTTTCTATAAGCTCAGTCCCTCAAGAACTCCTATCTAAAAGAATCCGTCATCGGGCCGCGCCAATATAACTACTAACAAAAAAATGTTTAAGAACAGACAACAATTACTCCAACAATACTAAATCACCAAAACATTTAAAAACAAAAGTGAAATAGTCACGCAATCCCAAAACATTATATATTGTACCACACCACCAAAACATTCCAACAATCCAAAACAATTGAAACAACCTAAAAATCCATAATAATTACTACCATCCAAAACATTTAAGAACAGTTAAACATATGTTTAAGGGAATCCTCCACCCCACACTTAAAGCGAGACATGTCCCCATGTCTTTCATTATAAACAAGAGATTAAGCAAAGATACTTCCCCGAGGAGTCACTCCTGGTCGGAGACAGAACCGGTATCCACATTGCATGCCCGACCAATTGCACGAAGCCAACCCAAGAGCCGGCTTTCCGTTTTCTTCTGCTGAACTTGCATTTCATCAACACGTCTCCCCAGAACTGTCACTAATGTTTTAATTTCAGTGATTTCCTGCTCCATGCGGTCTATCCTTTGTCCCCGACCAGCCCTAGACGGTCCTGCTGCATCAAAAGTTTGTGGTTGTGCAGGTTGTGCATCTTCTCCCATCTCCACATCGTCAGCTCCTTCTTGTTGCTCCTCTCCTTCCTCATCGTCACTGTCATCAGAATCAACAGCAACCAATTCAGCTGGATGTACAACTTCCTTACCTGTGGTGACCATTTTTGCCGTGAAAGTATTGACTTTAGCTAGTCGTCCATCTGCAGCAAGATTGTTTGGTACATTGGCTCGAAGGCACAGTAGGGTGACAAGAGATGGGTAATACAACCCGTAGCGTTGAATTCTAACCCTCTGGAACATTTCTTTATGTATCAACAATGGCACATCAAACCATGCCCTATTCATGAAACACCATATTAAGCAAGCTCGAGGGATGTTTACTTCAGACAAATTCTTGGAAGGCAAGAGACGGCTGTTGATGAAGTACAACCAACATTTGGCCTCGAACTTCAGGGCATTAGCGTGGAACTTGTTCCCATATTTATACCATTGGATATCTGCATCTGGGCGACAAATTATGTCGGTGAACGTGGACCATGGTATTAGCTTGCTGTTATATGCCTGGAACATATCCATGTAATCTTCCTCCACTGGGGGTAGCCTGTACACATCCCGAATTGTTTCTATAGATGCATTGACTTGTCGCTTTCGGACTGTAACATTGTAGTTATCATGTTCCGGAAGGTTGGCATAATATTCCCTCACTAGCATTACATTCGCCGTGATTGGCTCCTCGAAGAATATGTCAAGCCCACGCCTCCTCAACTCGTTTGCTATGTTTGGACAATTAATAGCCAAAGCATTTGCATCCATTGCTTGTTCAGGCACTATTGTTTTCTCCTCCTTTTTGTTAAATCTGTCTTGTGCCTTGGCTGACACAAACTTTTGACTGTTGAATGGCCTAGTATCAACTGATTTTCTGGGCCGTCCACCAACATTTGTTGTAGCTGGGCGGGTACCTGCAAGTAGTTTAGAGTTAGCCCTATTCACTTGGGTAACCAAACCGGGCTACTTAGACTTCACCACATAGTTGGTCACATCACTTCCTCCAAAGAGGCATTTTTTCAAACACATTGTGAGCATGTTGAGTTTCAAGCTTTTTCCAACCCTATGTCACAATGTATTCACCATCAACCAACTCAATTACTATTTTACACCACCATACTCCTAATTTTTCACTTCCTCAACCCAACCACACATCAAACATATGTTTAAATCTTCTATAAATGCTACATTCTAATGTTAAATAAGAAAAAAATTTAAGAAACTATCCTAAAAATATACAATCTTGACAACCATATAATAATGTTACATAATAAAACTAAAAAAAGAAAAAATTGAAGACATTATACTAAATATATGCAAAGAAATTGAAAATCGAACGAAAAAATAGAAAATTAAAACTATATTCACCATAAAAACGAAATTAATCTGAAAATTGAAGACATTAAACTATATTCACCAGAAAATTAACTAATAAGAAGAAGATGAAGAAGACATACCTTAGAGGATATGGGGTATGGGGTGAATGAAGAGGTGGGGAGATTTGATGAAGAAGAAGAAGAGGGGGGGAGTGTTTTCAGATTGATTTAGTAGAATGGGGGTTTTTAGGTTGTGGGGGGGGGGTATTATTAAGTTAAAGAAGTAAAAAAAAATTTAAAACAAAGTTACCTGTGACTAGCGCGGGTCGTGCACTGGTTATGAGCTCCCGCGCTAGTCATTTTTCCCCGAGGCAGACTAAAACCCAATTAGCGCGGGCTATGCGCTAGTCATGCGCTCCCGCGCTAATCACTGAAGGTCAGGGCAGACGAAAACCCGATTAGCGCGGGCTATGCGCTGGCTATGCGCTCCCATGCTAATCACTGAACGCTTCTCTTGTTTTTTTTTAACATATAGCTTCTCAAGAAGGCCAAGTTATAAATTCTCATTTACAAACTATATTTACAATACATTTGTGGGTTGCCTCCCACACAGCGCCTGATTTAATGTCGCGGCACGACGCCATATTGCATTATACATCAATTAAATCTACTGAGGTTTTGTGACGTTGAATGTCACCACCCCAATAGTGTTTAATTCGTTGCCCATTTACCAAGAACGTGCCTGTTGAATTAATGTTTCGCAATTCAACTGTTCCATGAGGAGTTACACTTACTACAACAAAAGGGCCTGCCCAACGGGACTTAAGCTTTCCAGGAAAAAGCTTTAGCCTTGAGTTGAACAAGAGAACTTCTTGACCCGGCTCAAACTCACGATGTTGGATGTGTTTGTCGTGCCACTTCTTGGTCTTTTCTTTATATAACTTGGCATTTTCATAAGCATGCAACCGAAACTCATCAAGTTCATTGAGTTGTAGCAGTCTTTTTTCTCCAGCTAAGTCCATATTCATATTTAGCTTTTTGATTGCCCAATAAGCTTTATGTTCTATCTCAACAGGCAAATGACATGCTTTTCCATAAACCAACCTGTATGGAGAAGTACCTATTGGAGTCTTGTATGCAGTTCGGTAAGCCCACAATGCATCTTCTAACTTACCGGACCAATCTTTCCTATTTGCGCTCACAGTTTTCTCCAAAATCTGTTTTACCTCCCTGTTTGACACTTCAACTTGACCACTCGTTTGAGGGTGATATGCAGTAGCAACCTTGTGTCTTACACCATATTTTGCTAGAACATTTTTCAACAATTTGTTGCAAAAGTGTGTTCCTCCATCACTTATCAACACCCTTGGAGTTCCAAAGCGTGTGAAAATGTGTTTCTTCACAAAACTTACCACTACCTTCGCATCATTAGTAGGAAGAGCAATGGCCTCAACCCACTTAGACACATAATCCACTGCAACCAAAATATATCTGTGCCCATTAGAATACGGAAATGGTCCCATGAAATCTATTCCCCAGACATCAAAGAGTTCTACTGCCAAAATATTTTGTAAAGGCATCTCGTGCTTCTTCGTGATCGTTCCGGTTCTTTGGCACCTGTCACAATTTTTAACAAAAGCATGTGCATCTTTAAATAATTTTGGCCAGTAAAAACCTGATTGCAAAACCTTTTGTGCAGTTCTGTCTCCCCCATGATGACCTCCATAAAGAGAAGAATGACGGTCATGCAATATTGCATTCATCTCCTCCTTAGGGACACACCTTCTTACCAATAGATCTGCGCATTGCTTATATAGAAAAGGCTCGTCCCACATGTAGAATCTCACATCATGTAAGAACCTTCTTCTATGGTCAGCTGTGAATTCTGGTGGAGTCACCCCACTTGCAATGAAATTCACATAATCAGCATACCACGGGGTTTCATCCGAAGTGATAGCTAGCAAATGTTCGTCAGGGAATGTTTCTTTGATTGATTCTCCTTCAGTGACATGGCCTCTATTTTCCAGCCTGGATAAATGATCTGCAACCTGATTCTCTGTTCCCTTTCGATCTCGAATCTCCAAATCAAATTCCTGCAAAAGAAGAACCCATCGAATTAACCTTGGCTTGACATCTTTCTTTGTAAATAAATACCTTATAGCGGAGTGATTTGTGTAAACTATGACTTTTGTCCCCACTAGATAGGATCTAAATTTATCAAATGCCCATACTACTGCGAGCAACTCTTTTTCAGTAACAGTGTAATTCATTTGAGATAAATTAAGAGTTCTACTCGCATAGTGAATGGAACAAAATATTTTCTCATTCCGCTGCCCCAAAACAGCTCCAATGGCTATATCACTTGCATCACACATCAATTCAAATGGAAGTTTCAAATCTGGAGAAATGATAATCGGTGCAGTAACTAATCTTCGTTTCAGCTCATCAAATGCTTTCAGACAAGCATCATCAAACTTGAAAGATGTATCTTTCTCAAGAAGCCTGCACAAAGGAGATGAGATTTTTGAAAAATCCTTGATGAAACGACGGTAAAAACCCGCATGGCCTAAGAAACTGCGAATGCCTCTAACGGATGTTGGTGGAGGTAATTTTTCAATTACTTCCACCTTTTGCTTTATCCACCTGCAATCCATTCTTGGACACTTTATGCCCTAAGACTATGCCTTCACGTACCATGAAATGACATTTTTCCCAATTTAGTACCAA